ACAAACGAACACACAAACACACACACGTAGGTGTGTGTCTGTGTGTGTATGCTTACGCGCGAGTGTTTGTGCGCACGTGTGTCTATGTATTTGTGCATGCAAGCGTGCGTGTGCGTCCTTGTGCGAGTGAGTGAGAGTGGTCGGTTGAATAGGCGAGCGAGCGCGGTGCGTGAGGATCTTACTTAAAAACCTACGAGGTAAAACCCATCTGTAACCGTCGGCGGATGTCACCTTCACTCTCCTCCCCCCGCCCCCCTCCTCTCGGCCGCTCTTAGGCCTATTCGGGAATGTTAACTGTCTCCTTTCCCCTCTTCTTGTCCCCGCTGGATCGCTCTTCTCCCTTATTTATGCCCCCTTCTGTTTCATCTCTTCACAGCTGTCCCTCTCATCTTCAGCCCGTCTTCTCTTACTATTAAGATCCATGGCAATAATAACGTTCTCTCTCTCTCTCTCTCTCTCTCTCTCTCTCTCTCTCTCTCTCTCTCTCTCTCTCTCTCTCTCTCTCTCCTCACCCCTCGTCATGGAAGGGAGAGGCCGTTACAAGTGTCTCTTTCCCCTTTATAAATTATTGGTCTCTCATTTCACTTTCCTCCTCTTCCTCCATCTCCTTTTCCCTCTCTCATCCTTGCAGTTATTTACATATTCCCCCCGTTTCACTTAAATTCTTTTCCGCTATTTTTTAATAACCTCGAAGTGACATCCAAAAAGGGGACACTTTTGAAAAGGCAAACTGGAAAGTAAAAAAAATAATGATAATAAATAAATAAATTATTCTCCCTCTCCCTCCTCCCCCCCCTCTCTCTCTCTCTCTCTCTCTCTCTCTCCCTGGGGAATGGAAAGAAACTGCGAAATTAGTGGGAAAAGACAAATAATGCGAAAGAGAGAGAGAGAGAGAGAGAGAGGAGAGAGAGAGAGAGGGGAGAGAGAGAGGAGGAGAAGAGGAGAGAGAGAGAGAGAGAGAGAGAAGAGAGAGAGAGAGAGAGAGAAGAGAGAGAGAGAGGAGAAGAGAGAGAGGAAGAGAAGAGAGAGAGGGGGGGGGGGGGAGAGGGAGAGATACAGAATATGAAGTCCGTCAGAATTCTATCACAGTATCAATCTTCATGAAGTTATGGGTAACACTGCAAGAACAGCAGTAACGGAACGTGGGATGAACATCTTATGTACAAAATTCTTTATCAAGCAAGAAATAATTTGAAGAAAATGTAATAAGAGTAGGATGAAAATAAGAGCTACCGGGCACATGTCACTGCATTTCTTGATGAACTTGGCAGACTCGACTCTACCTATGAGAAGGTTAAAAGTAACTGGAAAGGTTCTGTGTATATGAGCAATCAATATAATTGAATAGGCCTATATATATAACTGGGAAACAGATATGAGATAAAAGAATGGAACAAAGAATACAAAGCATGTGGGCCATCATGACTACATACCTTGGTAAGCTACATGCTAAAGCGCCCCTACTTCATATGTACACAAAGGCAAATATAACCAGCTGAATGGGGGTTTCAAAATGGGCAACGAGACAACATGTAGTAAACAGCTGACAGAAATTTAAATATCAAGAATATAGCTAGGGAAATAGGCTTCGTAAATAAATAGAAATGACCTAAGCCCAAGTCTCTCTCCCTTTTTCTTTCTCTCTCTCTCTCTTCTTCCTTTCCTCCACTGCCTCAAGCCCACCGTCTGTCTACCCCTCATCCCTTCCTTCCCCCCCTCTCCTCCCTTTGCCATAACCTATGAACATCTCCTACCCCCCCCCCTTATACCTCCATACCCCCATTCTCACGCTCACCCATGTCCTGTTCGCTTTGGGCCCTCTCTCCCCCTCCCCCTCCATCTCCCCTCTTTCTATCCTATGCTTTCCCACGCCCCCCTCTTCTTCCCTCCCCTCCATCACGATGCTACTACCCCTGTCCCTCTGTCTGCCCTCGCGCCCTTATGGGAAGCTTGTTAAAGTGCAAATGCTCTATCCGCTCTCTATTTTGGGGGAAACGGAAAGTTTCTTTCTTTCTTTTTTCTTTCTCTTTCTTTCTTTCTCCTCTCTCTCTCTCTCCTTTCTTTACCGTATTCCCACACTATCTCCCTCTCCCTTCCCTTTCATCCTCCCAAGGCCGGATCACCTACTCTGATTTGCTTGCTCTCCTTCCCCCTCATCCTATCCTTCTTCTCCGTCTCTTTCCCTTCTCTCCCATCCCCTCCCCTCTCACTCTCTCCCCTTCACCAATTCCCCTCTTCCCTTCCTCCTTCCTCCTCTCTCATCTCATTTCACTCCTTTCCCTTCCTTCCACCTTCTCTTTCTATGTTCTTCCCAATATTCTATCCTTCCGTCCGTCCGTCCGTTTGTCTGTCTGTCTAACTGACTGTCCCCCCTCCCACACCAACCTCCAAATTGTATTCTACCCCCACCCTCACCCGCCATCTACTCATTGCCCCGTTCCCCACTCGCACTGCTCCCGCCCCGTTTGTTTACCGGGCGACATTCCCGCCGTGTGACACCACCGCCGCCGCCGCCCCCGCCCGCCACCAGTCGCCGCCGCTCCCGCCACACCCCACCTTAGCTCACCCGGATCAGAACCGCGTGGGCTTCTGTTTTTGGGTGCATCGGTGTTTCTTTGGTTCTACATGTTTTCATCTTTTGCTTTATCGTACCACTCTGCATACGCGTTTTTAATTTCAATAGCCGAAGGAGAGGAGAGGAAAGGGATGGGATGGGAAGGAGGGAGAAGGGAAGGGAGGCGAAAAGGAAAGGAAAAGAAAGGAAAAGAAAAAAGAAAACGGTTAAAAAGTCAAGATACGAGTATATTTCATGCAAGAGAGAGGAGAGAGGAGAGAGAGAGAGAGAGAGAGAGAGAGAGAGAGAGAGAGAGAGAGAGAGAGAGAGAGAGAGAGAGGTGGAAAGAAAAAAGTGAAAATAACACATAATAGAAAAAACAAAACGAAGCAGTCAAGAAGGGAAGATGGAAGAATACGAGCGAGCGAGCAGATCCACACCAGAGTCCCGACGATGGCCCCAACGCGACGACAACTGCGGGAAAATAACGTCGCGAAGAGGGTACAGGCGGTACAAAAAATCGCCAGTGAACAACAAAAAACACAACAACAAATCGGAGTAGCGCCTTGATCGTATTAAAATATTCAAATTATTCATCATCGTTACTTTTTCCTTAGAGGAAGGGGTGCGGGAAAGGGTGGGACC